GAGGGAAGATGGTTGGAAGTGTTGCTCTGCAAGTTTTTGTTGTACTTCTTGTTGTTGTTAGCTTTGTGATTTTACTAGAATACAAAAAAAGACGAAGGCGCCAAAAGCGACCACGTCGTTCTTGAACAGCAGATTCAGTAATGTTAAAACCATCTAATCCCAGGATGTGAATCTTATATTTATATGTACACAGATTCCCCACTAGGGGGAGCCAATGAGTAATAATCAACACAACTGGAAGATAGCCACAAGAATGCAAAGGAACAAGAGGCAAAATGAAGGACTGAAGCCAAAGACAGACACATGTAAAACTAAATGAGGATGTGGAAACATAAACATGATACAGAAACCAAAAAGTAACGACTGTGGCAAGTCTGGCTTGAACACGTAACTTCCAGAACCAGAACTTAGAATAAAAGGTACAAATAAAAAATAAAAAAGGAAAAAAGGTACAAACTCAAAAAACCGAGTCAAGAACTGTGGCAATTAATGTCACAGTTGTTTCCTATTCTTCTCAACAAGTTTATTCATTTAAATTAATGAAGATGAGCTAAATCCTCTGCTCTGTTTGGTGATTGTTTTAAAGCTTAGTGTGAATGTTTTTGTGGGTTTTTATTTGCTGTGTGTGTCATGTACTTTTGTTTTTGTTTGTATTTTATTTATTGTTTTATATTCTATGTAGTGACATAATTTCCAATAAAATGTTTTACTGTGAGAAGTTTGAATTTCAACAGTGAACAAAGTGAAACAGTGGGAAGAACGAGCACAGAGTCCTTTGCATTTTGAGTCATCCTTTATCACAGGTTTACATGAAGTTGAGGCAATCAGATTTGCTTTGAGTTAAAGCTGTCCGTCAAATCCAAAGATGGGAAAAGAAAAGGATGAAAACTTTTCTTTTGTTGCTTTGATGCACATAGTCAGAACTCCTGAAGCCCACTTACAAAGACTGTGAACCACTGAAATATGGATATATAAATCTGACTCTGACAAGTCACCTTACTTTTGAAGTTGAACTTTTGAAGTTGTCTTTTTGGGTTATGAAGAACGATCTTTGCTCTGGGTTCTAATGACTTTTTTTTGTTGTTGTGAGTTAAAGTCAGCAGCTTTATTTTGAACATAAAACAAACATAAGACAAAATGACACAGGCTATGTAGAATCTACAAACTCACTAACAGTGAGAACATGTTGGCTAAGGAGGAACCCCTTAAACGCACAAGGCAGACAGCATGAAGGAAAACACAACAAAGATAGACACGAGGAGACACCTGGGAATAGACGAGGAGTGAGGGAATATCAAAATAGAACAGGTGTAACTCTGGCTGTTTTATTTCTGGTTTCCTGCCTCATCATGGACTTCATGGATTTCAGTAAAAAAAAGTTACTCTCTATACTCGTGGCACTAACTCAGCCTGCTGAAAACTGGATGAGTGCACTTGACATAGATCTGAGCTCGTCCCCTTCACTGACTCTTGGTGGCGCTGTTACTTGGTGTTCGCTCGCTCTGTGGTAGAGTATCACTTCCTGTTCCTGCTCAAACACAGTGGTGTTTCTGAGTAGCTTATCTGCTTAGCAATTTAATTAAAAACTTTTAAATACATTTTTTTCATAGTATAATCTTCACGTGCTTCATCCGAAGCACCCTTTCTGTGTACTCACTACCTAATTTATAGCCAAAGTATTAACTCACTGTTAGGGATGCACCGATACCACTTTTTTTAAAACGAGTACGAGTACTTGCA